ATATATATATATATATATATATATATATATATATATATATATATATACGCGCATGTTTGGATACGAGCTGTTTATCTTAAAAGTGCTCAGTTCGGAAACAGTATGTATCTTAACGAGATGCAGATATAAGCTGAAACGCATCGTCGATCGCCTCGACGTCCGAGAAACTGCTCTAACATTCAAGCGAATGACTGGCGCGCCTCGTTAAAAATCTTCAAAATCGAGACTTTTATAAATAGCCACGGCTAAAGCCGAGTTTTCGAGCTCGGAGAGAAGGGGCAAAATAGCGCGAGTTTCACTCAGATATTTTCTCCGTGTGTAGGGGTTTGTGTATGTGACAGTCACATCACCATACTGCAGCGTGTTTTGCCTCTTATCGCCAATTTATTACTTCGCTGTCGCGTTTCGAAATGCTCGTTCGCTCGGCGCGCGACGCTCGACGTGGCTTTATTCATTACATATTCCCGTCGTGCATTAAAGCCGGATGTGCGCGGTAGCTTCCGTTATAATGTAACGGCGGAAATTGACCGAAAATTAACCGAAACACGATACCAAACGTCCAGCAATCTCTTCGTGTGTTAACTATGCGTGGGGTACAAATCGAAAGTTAATTAAAAGCACAACAGAAACTTCACTTTATAGACCGCACGTCACACCCTGACAGATCAGAGTGGAGGAGGGTGGGGAGGGTGAACTTCCGCGGTGCACAGAGAGTTCGCAATTAAATACGCGGTTGCCTAAAGCGAGACGGGGATAAATGTATCGCGGAAAATGCGCCCGCGCGTTATCGTCTACTCGTGCTGTATTTGCTCCGTATTCCAGCCATCGGATTTCACTTCATCCGATCCCGATGTTTATGCCGTAAAATACGGCGATACCACCGGTTATATAAGTGAGAATTTTCGCTGCGAATTTCGATTGCGATTAATGTCAACTGCAGTACCTGAACGTGACTCTCCACACGGGCACAAGCCGATTTTTCGTGCTTCTGAATGAAAATTATTCCGACTAGTCCACTTTGATTAATGATATTTCATATTTACGCTCTCTTGCGCCCCATCCCATTTATGACTTTCCAATGAGCATATTTTCTACATAGACTCTTATATAGGTAAAAGATAATTAAAAATTAAAAATGCATTAATATTTTTATTTTACATATATAAAAACATATGATACATATGCCCGATATATTTCTAAATTGCAATATATATTTTTATCACTATGTCATATTTTTATCGTTTATTTTATATCATTTTCGGTTTTTTAAACATTTATGCTTAAACTTTCATATTTTTTAGCTATCTTTCCCTTTACTAAAGATAGTAACATCATATATTGGAGACGTTATTAATATGTTATTAAGAAAAGTCACTTGACATTTTCATCATGTTTACTAGACTTGCTCTTCAAACTTGTAATAACTTTGGATCCAGACTCTGAAGCAATGTCAAATTGTTCATGATTGCTTTCAGATGCAATGCAGATTAATCTCGAATTATTTCAAAATTCTCTCATTATTTTTGAGATATGAGCAACGCACTTTGAAGGAGTCTTTTAATGGATAATAAAATGAACTTAAAAATTGTCGCGTTTTTTCGACGGAAAAACACAATATGTAATGCCCTCATGGATATACATAACAATATATCCTGATATATATGTATATTAGGGTGGTCCTTATTTTACTCTTGGTCAAAATTTTTTTTCAAATTTTTCCCGCGGCACCCTCCAAAAAGTTTCCATTTGACAAAAAAGAAATCCCTGCCAAACTTTTGCTCGATCGGATAACGAGAAGCAAAAGTTTGGCAGGGATTTCTTTTTTGTCAAATGGAAACTTTTTGGAGGGTGCCGCAGGAAAAATTTGAAAAAAAATTTCGACCAAGAGTAAAATAAGGATCACCCTAATGTATGTATTGTGTATTGTTAGGATATTATAGAATGTATGATTGTTATATATATATATATATATATATATATATATATATATAGTGTATTCCGATGCGATTATTATTAAAGTGACTGGAAACTACTGAACTTGAAACTGTCACAATAAATTTGGGGAGTTGGTTTACTCGGCATTCGTGTTCGTTACGACCTACTTACCAAGGAATACATGTCGCCTGTTTGCGAAAGCGCCGTAACGGTGTCCCATCCAAAGTGTTTGATCAACGCTATCCTGGCGGGATTGTGACTTGAGTCCGGGGCGACGGTACGCAGAAACAGTGGGAACTCGTTGGAATCCGAGAGGGCTGGTGCCGTCGACCCAAACGATACTTGAATGACGTTCCAATAGGGCACAATTTTGGCCAGTGTCTCAGTAACTTCGGAACAGGCAGTGCCGAGTAGAAACGGCATGAGGGGTTTCTTCCTCGTCGAGTACAATGCATGAAAGAATCTGTCGACAGCCACTCCGGAATCGCACTAAAAGCAAAGAGGCGGAAACGGGCTTCGTGTGAGATCAGCTACTAAATATACTCGCAATACTTCTTTACAGATATATTCTCTAGAGTCAAATTCGTCTGGCCGTGCAAAATGAAAAAAAAAGAGAGAGCATTCCATGAATTTTTTTATTTCCCATACGTGAACGCATATACGACGCGCGTTAATCGTCGGCACGAAATTGAAGCTCGCGTATCCAACAAATTGAAACGTTCCTATTCGAAGTAGATCCGGGATCGTTAAAGTACGACGAAAGAACTGGGTGAAAAGTCAAGTGTTATTTGTACATCGACGTGTGCGAGACTTCAAACTTGTCGAGGGGAGTGAGCGATTACAAGCGCCGTCATTACCGACGTGAAGAAAGCGCGAAGTATCACGCGTTCTTCGAGCTGCGAACGGTGGTTAGATGAGAGAAGCACCTAGCGCGCGCCTTAACGAGCAATTATTCAACGTGAACGGAGTCGAGGCGAGCTCGAAAGTGCATGGAAAAAAAATCTCGAGGATTTTCACGAGCGAATCTGACAGAACTGCGAGTTGAGAGAGGAATCAGGCACTTCTCGATTCAACTTTTACACGAGTGCCACCCACTTCACGTCTTGTTACGATTTCATTGGGTCTCTCCGAGAGGATACTCCCGGAAGTTGAAAGTCGACCAATCACTCTGCAAAACGAGAAATTGGGCCCTTAGCGCATCCCTTTCCGTTGAACGATTCGAGTAAACTTTTTCCAAAAAAAGGGCGATAAAAGAAAAGAATTGCCCCGACCGGCAGTACCGCTCACAACTTAACTCGATGCAATTAAAGTTCCGAAAATGCTGCGGATGTTCCGTCGAGAACTTGCGGCGGCGATATCGCGCGCATAAAAAGTCGAAGAGTCGACGATACGAAAATACGGGTACGCGAAAGTTTAGTCCGAATAGGATTAAGGTAGGGATTTATTTTTCAAAGGGTACACGCTGTTCTGTTATCTTTGCGGCACGTTTGCGATAGCAAGTCGCGTCCGACGATATTCTGAATGCGACTACTGGCTTAACGAACGTTGTGTGTCATGCATATCCATGACTTTTGCGATATCTCTATTTACGAGGACAATCAACCTGCGTAAACTCACGTTAGACACTCGCCGGTGGAGTGTGGCTAAAACTTACATTCCCATGTTCATTTCCGCGCACGCGGAAGACAAATTAATCATCGAAAAGGAAAAAAAATAACACTTAAAACACGGCTGTAGAGCCCGAAGACCTGTTGCGTATAAAATAAGGCGAGTATCGCTCGCTACTCGGCAGTGAATGAATACACGTGTAATACGAATATTTTCCGCGATGATAGGAACATTTCCGCACTCTAGATTTTTCATTCTAAAAGCCGCTCGGGTAATTTATAATTTCGAGACATTCACCCCGAAATATTATTCAAATAAGTACTATGTAGGTTGTTAATGATATATATGTTTTAAAATAACATATCTGTTTTCGAAAATTTTTTAGAAGTGTTTTACAAGTTTTGCACTGAAATAATATATGTATTTTAAAAGTTTTTAGAAAAGAGAGAGGGAGAGAGAGAAAAAGAGTTTCATACTTGTTTTAAAAAATTTTATATTTATTTTAAGAAAAATTTACAAGTTTTATATATTTGTTTTAGAAATGTCCGCATTTGTGGAAATTTATGTGCTCAATGGAAATTTTGTATTTTTATATACATTAGTTGAGATACGTGGAGTTATTCGCAATTGAATATTGGATTTAATCAAGTGCGGGAAATGGTGCATTCCCTTTGCAATTGATCGATGTTGCGTAAGTACTAGCCTTACATCGATCATAATTTATCTCCAATAATTAAGATGTCAGCCGTGCTTCACGCTGCGGTTGACACATATTCTGCTTTTCGCATCAGTTGTCAAATTAGTGGGGTAGATAATGTTAGTAATGAATATCGTTAATTGCGTCTCTGCTATGGACGACTCATAACGGAGCTATAATATCTCTTCACTTGCTCACTCAGTAATTTACATAATGACATCATCATTTTGTTCTCTTCATTTCATTAATGAATGAGAATTACGGAACTGTAATAGTTTCAATGCGCCATCATTAACGTCGAGCTTATAATGCAAATTTTTTCATCGAACAAAGAAAAAGATGCGATAATATGAAACAATTAATATTTCAGAGGAAGTTTAAAATTTACATGTATATCAATATTACACGCAAGTTTTTTTATATTATCTTCTTCCTGTACGATCTCGCGAAATAAATCAGATTAATTTTTAAAAATATCAAAATGAAAAAGAAGTCTGCTATTTTTGTGCATATGATCCGTTAAAACAGGAAATGGTGTTTGCAATATTATCAATCTAAGTCCAGTCTTCCAATTCACATAATTTCCACTTCAACCTGAAAACAATCAATATTTTCTGTTACAATAATTTAATTCTATTAAATAATTATTTTATTTCGCAGAAGAGAGCGACTTCTTGTCTCTCAGAAGCATTTATTTTATTTCATCTCTGTCTTAGAAAATGTCGACTATATCGAAGTAATCTTTCGATCAGTTCAGTAATGTTGAAATGAGGTCAACAACACCTGCTCAATCCCAAAATGCGAAGGTGGACTTCAGTTAAACATTAGAAAATGTACAATACGTGGGCGCTGTGCTTGCTTCCACATTGACAGCTGATTGCTCGACTACGCGGTCGCTGATTGACGCATGCGCATTGCGTTTTTCAAGAGTAAGAACACGTGCACGCGATGCGCAGCGCGTCACTATATGCAGCGTTTACTGTGATACTTGAGTGTGCCAAATTTTTAAAAAGTAACTCGTGAGCGAATTGATATAAAGACATGAAATAAAAACTAATCTCCTTAAAATGCGACACCGCGCGTTGTTTGATTTTTTATTAACGATTCAAGGAAGTGCCGCAGTCAAACTTCATGATAAATTTAAACCGAGACTCACTGCACGTGATCTTCTCTTTTATTCGTTTATAGAGCCGTTCTTTAGACACATAAAAGTCTGTTTTTGAATATGTATGCGAAAGTACCTTCAACTGACAACCGGATTAAAAAGAAAACACCGAAACAAGTGGAATTGTATGAACGAGAGAAATTATAGAAAACGATGGAATTTACAATGGTCTGGTGATACAACTACTTTGGAATGAATCATAAAGGTGCTACTATTAAATATGCAAGCGGTATTAACATGTACGTTGCAAAGAACAACGGAGCGCGAGTTAAATCGCAAATTGCACGAACAGCGTGACAGCTTTGCGGTTTAACGTGCCGTCACGTGACGACATAATGCTGCTGAGAAAGAAAGAAACATTGCCAATGTGCGAATCTGACAGCTGCGATGGCGCGAAGCCTTCGTGATAAATTGCTATTATCTTGAGAGATAGAGAGGATCAATGATGAAAAAAAATGGTATCGACATGGTGACGAATGAAAATGGATTCTTGAATCGTTCGCGCGTACTCTAGTATAAAATACGTGAAATGTCGCGACTCACGTCCACCGGTGAAACACTAAGTTCAAGAGATTTCTCGGCCAGCACGAAATCGGGTTGAGCAATTTCCAACTCACTTCCTGACGCAATGCGTGTATGCGCGTGGTCTGTAAGCATTTCCGCTGGTTGATGTGTTTGTCGCAAAATTGTTATCTCGTTCTTCCACGATACAGTCGTCAGTATATTCCTCGTAAAACATATACCCATATATAAGAAAATATTATTTATTTTCTTTTTTCATATAAATTGTTTTCAATTTCAATTTCTTAGTTCCTAAAATATTGAATTGCGTAATGAGTAATTTTTATTGATAGAGAGTGAAGCGATTGTATTTTCATGTCATTATAATTTTGTGAAAGAAAGAAAAAAGAAAGATGAAGGTCATAGATCAAAATGGCAGATATATATTGCTTCCTAAAATTATAAAAATTCGAAATTACTTATTATATAGCCTAACATACAGTTAAAATAAACATGTTTATTAGTGGTCTCAAACTTTTGATCTGTAAGTAGTACTTTGTTATAAGTAGTATATATAAGATGATAACATTACATATAAAAGCATAGTCAATTATTGCAGAACGTCGATTATTTCCATAAAATTCTACAGACCTTTACTACAAAATCCTCTACACGTGTACCGAGCTTGTTCATGCTTGTTTTACGTAGGCAGACTTGCTTTTGAGATTCCTACCCTCGAGATATAGAATGCGCATATATTCGGCAAATGCAAGTAATATCGTGATCGTACCGACAGAGTTGTATAATCTTCGCAGGAGAAGGGTGGTGAAAAACAGCGCGCCTCTCGAGGGAGACGGATCCCTCGGTGAGAATGAGATTTGTATCGGCCGTAATTACTCCTAATACTCCTCTCAAACTTTCTCCAAGTTTAATCTGTAGCTTCCGTATTTCGATACAGTGAATGCGTCACCCTTTTTCTCGTTGTTTAGTGGCGCCCGCTCGCTCCTCTTTATTTAACGGACAACTCCCGTGGCAGATCCTATCTCCGCCATTTTGTTTTTCATGCGCACGCTCTCGAAATAAACTGAATGAATGAATGATGATTGCCAGCTTTTTACTACCGTTGAAGTGTTATGACGGTTGTGCGCTACCATACATCGGCAAGTTCTCACCAATTTATTCACCGCGGTTTGGATATTTTTTATCGTTCATATAATTTTTGTATATCATTACTATGTGTGAAAAATACGTCAATTATAGTATATATCTTGCATGCAAAGGAAAGCTAAAGATCTCATTACCTTCTATACCATTTTCACGAGAAATACCTTCATGTATTGAGGAGAGCTGTTTGTGAGAGAGAAACTTTACGTCTGTTAACTTTTATCCTTTGGTTCTTAACGCAGTTCTCCTTACGAATGTCTCTGTTTCGAAAATCGTGTTGCCCGCAACGCGCGAGAGACGAATTAAAAAATGCGAATTGCATGTACCGTCGCAAAAGACCGAGCATCGTTCTTA